TAAAATAAAATGCCCTGAGGGTTACTGGTCTTGTTGTGAATAGCTCCTCTACCTCCTGCTTGTTCATGGAGGCAAGGGAAACATATAAACTGTACTGGACAAGGTTTTCAGATTTAACATCAGAAGGGTGGGAAATATAGGGTAGTGTTTGAGCACATGCTTAGCAACTAAAAGCCCCCAGATTAAACTCCAGAACTGGGGCGGGGATGGGGAGCCAGGAGATAAATATTTTGACAGTTCTCACATAGTGTCCTGTGAACACAGAACCTGAGTCTTAACCCAAGGAAACATCACAGAAACAAAGTGAGCAACTACTTGAAAGAAAATTGTTGTTGTTGTTGTTGTTATTATTATTATTGGTTTTTCAAGACAGGGTTTCTCTGTGTAACCCTAGCTGTCCTGGAACTCACTTTGAAGACCAGGCTGGCCTCGAACTCACAGAGATCCACCTGCCAGTGCTGAGATGAAAGGGGTGAGCCACCACAGCCCAGCTAAAATTTTAAAGGACTGGATTCTTTAAAAAATGTCAGTGTTCAGAGACAGAGATGACGGAGGAACTATTCTAGACTAAAGGAAGACACCTGAAACCTAAACCACCGGTGGCATCGGCCTGGCTCTCTCCTGGCTAGAAGGCAAAGTTAGAGGAGACAGCTGCAATACAGAAGGAAGCTGGAGTGTTACCTGGATTTCTGTGTGTGAGACTACCTTCACGCCTAGGGAACACACACTAAGTATTCAGGAGAAGAGAACAGGATATAGACAACTTTCTCTCAATGGTCCTGAGTGTGTGTGTTCCCACAGATGTATACACATGCTCATACAAAGAGCAAGTGAGTTTGGTGCGCTGGCACACGCCTGTAATCCCAGCACTTGAGAGGTACAGGCAAATGTCTGGGAGTTGAAGCCCAGTCCAGGCTACAGAAGGAAACCTTGTTTGAAAGAAAAATGCTAATGCTAACAATAAGATGTCACCACCCAGCACAGTGGTGCATGCCTGTCAGAGGAGCATCCCCGCAAGTTCCAGGCAACCTGCTCCATACAGTGAGTACCTGGCCACCTCCATAGTGAGACCTTTTATTCAAACAAAAAAATAAAAAGCGAAGTGTTCACAAAAGGTAACTTGGATAAAAGTTATCTGGGTATTTTTGCATTATTGTTGTAATTTTTCTGTAAACTTGAAATTTTTCTAAATTAAAAAAAAAATTTAGGGGCCTGGTGGTGCACAACTTTAATTCCAGCACTCAGGAGGCAGACACAGGCGGATGTCTGTGAGTTCGAGGCCAGCCTGGTCTACAGAGTGAGATCCTGGACAGCCAGGACTACACAGAGAAACCCTGACTCAGGAAGAAAAAAACAAAAATTAGGGAAGGGTAACTGAAACTTTATGCTTAAAGCTGTTAAAATGGCAAATGTTATGCCAGACATATTTTATCACAATAAAAAAAAGTAGAAAGAAAGGTGGAAAGAAACGAACTTGGGCCTGGAGAGACAGCTCAGGAGGTAGAGTGTGTGCCAAGTAAGCACGGTGAGCTGGGTGTGGCTCCCCAGTGCCACCTAAAAGCCAGGGGCTGCAGGGAGTACTAAAGGCCCAGGCTGAGGAGCAGGTATCCCCAGGGCCCACTGGCCAGCCAGTAGGAACCGATGAGCTCCAGGTCCAGTGAAAGGCCTGTCTCCAAAATAAAATAGAGTGACTGAAGAAGACACCCCATGTTGACCTCTGGTCTCTACATGCACCTGCACACAAAAATCACATGCCACACACACAGATGTACACACATATACCACACACACATGAACATGTATACCCAACACACACCACATCCACTCACAAACAAGTATATACACATATTCCACAAACACACATGAACATATACACAGAGAGGGAGAGAGGGAGGAGGTAATAAAAAAAAAGAAGAGAAAAAAGAAACCTAAGGACTGGAGATGTAACCCACTTGGTGGAATGGATGCCTCGCTGTTCATATTATCTTGTTCCTATTATCAGTGCTATCTGATAAGACCTTTTGTAAAGACAGTGTTTTTAGTGGTGGTGGTGGTGGTGGTGGTGGTAGTGGTGGTGGTGGTGGCGGCGGTGGTGGCGGCGGTGGTGGTGGCGGGTGGCGGTGGCGGTGGCGGTGGTGGTGGCGGTGGTGGCGGTGGTGCATGCCTATAATCCCAGCACTAGGGAGGCGGAGGCAGGCACACCAATGTGTGCTTGTGAAGCCCTAGGTTTGAGCCCCAGCACCACACAAACCAGGCATGGTGGTACCACTCGGAATTCCAGCACACAGAAGGTGAGAGGGATAAACGTTCAAGGTCCTCTGCTACCCAGCGAGTTTGAGGCCAGCATGGACTCCATGAGACCTGTCTCAAAAACACAGAAACCCTCAAAGTTCAGGACTTCTTTCTGTATTAAAGGAAAAGTAAGAGGCAGAAATATATTAACTAAAACATGCTAGCACATGAGCTCCATCAAAGGAAAACAGAGTCAGTTCATAGTAATAACCAAGTTTAATTTACCACAAAACTATAAACCTACACAGTTCATGATGGTAGTCACTAGCTACATGTAGTTCAATTTTAAATTTAAAATTATTAAAATTAAATACTCAGTCCCTCAGTCATATTCACAAGTTCAAGTGCTTAAAATAGCCAGGAATAGTTATCATATTGAAAAGTGCAGAAAATCTTTTGTTTGTTTGTTTTTGTTTTTCAAGGCCAAGTCTCTCTGTGTAGCCCTGGCTGTTCTGGAACTCACTCTGTAGACCAGGCTGGCCTCAAACTCAGAGATCCATCTGCCTCTGCCTCCTTAGTGCTGGGATTAAAGGCATGCACCACCGCTAAAAACATTTTCTTGTCTTTACAAAAGTCTTATCGGATGGCACTCCTGAATGACTTTAAATGTGCATCTCGGAGCAAGGCCGAGGTCATATGAAACAATGGTGACATCACAATTTCTAAAAAAGCTGGAGCGATGGCTTCGTGGTCAAGACCACTGGTCGCTCTTCCAGAGAGCCTGGGTTTGATTCCTAGCACCTACATGGTGGCTCACAGCCATCCCTAACTCCAGTCCCAGGAGTCTTTTGTCCTTCTCTGGCTCTGTGGTCACAGCATGTGGTGCAGATACACATGCAGGCAAAATACCTATACACATAACTAATAATAAAACATTAAAAAATCACAGCCACATGGGTAAATTTTGGCTCACCCCTCTCAGTAGTAGGTGAAGCAGACAGGAATTAGTAAGGTATATAACATATGAACAATTAAAAAGGTCAATTTCATGAAATACATAGACTCCTGAATCCAACAACCAAAGAACACATCTTTTCCTTAATTGCAGCTTATAAAATCCTCCCACCCACTAGCTCATAAGTGAAGTATCAATACATTAAAGATCCAAACCATCAGAAACCATGTTCTTTAGTCACAATGGAATGAAGGCCGAAATCTAAAATTACTAAACAAAAAGAAAAACTTATTTGAGAAAGATGGATTGATTTTTCAGACAGGGTCTGTAGCCCAGGCTGGCTCAGACTCCCTATGTAGCTAAAGATATCCCTGAATGCCTTATCCTGCTGCCTCCTCCCAAGGACTGGGATTACTGGCATGAACCACTAAGCATGGTTTATGTGGTGCTAGGGTTTATACCCTGGGCCTTCTGCATGCTAGGCAAGTGCTCTACCAACTCTATTTCCAGCCTCTGTTTGGAGGTTTAAAAATAGACTTTCCATGAACTAATACATCGCAGAAGTGGCAACAGCACACACCTTTTGTCTTAGCACTCAGGCTACGGCAGGAGGGTGCCTGTGACTTCTAGGCCTGCCTGGTAAACATGGTACGTGCCATGCTAGTCATGGCCATACTGATAGACTCTATACATAAAAAAACAGTAATGGAAATTAGGAGATTATTAGAAGTGAACAATAAGAAACATATGATATATAAAATCCTATGGAAAAGGCTAGAGAGATGGTTCAGCAATTAAGAGTACTCAGCGTTCAGTTCCCAGCACCCACATGGTGACTTACCCATGTCCATAACTCTAGTTTTAGAGAATCCAAACACCCTCTTATGGCCTCTGAAAGCACCAGGCACATACATGGTATACATCCACACATGCAGTAAAACACATTAAATAAATAAATAAATAAATAAATAAATAAATAAATAAATAAATAAATAAATATTCAAAAATTACACACAGGGCTGGAGAGACGGCTCTGCGGTTAAGAGCAACGGATGCTCTTCCAAAGGACCTGGGTTGGACTGCCAGTTCACATGGGGGCGCAAACCATTTGTAGCTCTAGTACCAGGGGATCCAGCTCCCCTCTTCTGGCCTCCTTAGCCACCAGGCACACATGTGGTGCACAGACACACATACAGGAAAAATATCCACGCGTGTAATAAAATCAAGATCAAAATTACATACAAAAACTTGCCGGGCGGTGGTGGCGCACACCTTTAATCCCGGCATTCAGGAGGCAGAGCCAAGTGGATCTCTGTGAGTTCAAGGTCAGCCTGGTCTACAGAGTGAGATCCAGGACAGGCACCAAAACTACACAGAGAAACCCTGTCTCAAAACAACAACAGCAACAACAACAAAACAAAAACCCTATGATGCATCCTAAGTGTCCCATGAGAACAGGGAAGGTAGACACATGCACACAGTAGAACGGGACTCAGCAAACCAAAGAACAAAAACTAATGCTACAGTGACCCCTCCCCAGACACCAAGCTGTGAAGAAAGCAGACACAGTGCAGCATGTAGGCCATGGTCCCATCTCTATAATGTGCAGGTGCAGGTGGAAATTTATGGTGACAGACAGAAAGATAAAAAGAAGCTACTGACTGGGAAGGGTACATGAAGGAGAAACCTGTTGGGTGCTGGAATGTTCTACATCTTGATCTGGAGGATGGGTACAAGGCTGTATAGAAGTATATAAACTCATTAAGTCTTCTATTAATACTACTTATATACCAATCAAAAATGTTCAAAAAAGATCCTTTTTTGGTTCATAAGCATGATGATTGGGAACTTACGCCCATGCGTGATGTGTGCCGCCCACTAAACCTTGTTATGACGTTGGCACATTACCCGTCTGATGTGAAAAATGAAAAATAAAAAAAAGAAAAAAAGAAAAAAAATGTTCAAAAAAACCCACTATAGGATGTGGTTAAAATGATGGGGGATAAATAGCCTTAAATATTTTTTTGTTTTTTGTTTTTCGAGACAGGGTTTCTCTGTGTAGCTTTGCGCCTTTCCTGGAACTCACTTGGTAGCCCAGGCTGGCCTCGAACTCACAGAGATCCACCTGGCTCTGCCTCCCGAGTGCTGGGATTAAAGGCGTGCGCCACCACCGCCCGGCAGCCTTAAATATTTTTATTTGGGAAGAAGTTCCTAAGACTGAAAATGAAATGAGCAGACAACCTGAAGATCGGAAACACAAACAGAACCCGTTTCCAGGAAGCTGAAGGAGAGAGCAAGCGTTAATGAAGCGATCCCCATTCTTCTGCACCCTCCCCCAGAAACTGCCCAACCTAGAGAGACCCCCTTCCTATCTCTGCATCCCACACGGCGCTGCTCTCCTTTCCTGCTGCCACCCGGAATGCATCTCCATCTCCAGGTTCCTGTCCCCAGCTCCTCACTGTGGCTGTAGAAGCTGGAGAAGCGCTCAAGGGCATCACAGAAGTCTGTGGGAAGGTGCTGTCTGGGTTCATGCAGGTAGCAGAGTGGAGAGACGGGCCAGCAGCGTGGGGACAGGACCAGTACAGACACTTCCGGACCTGCGTCTTCTATACAGAGTTCCTTTTCAGTCTCCTGTCCCTTGTCTTCTTCCTAAGGAGAGAGAGATGAGCCATGGGCTCTCCAGTGAGCCTGTTCTTTCTCTCTGCCCTTCTCTCCCCACTTGCCCTCACCTCCACTTCCTCTAGCCTCCATTCCTCCTGGTCTTCCTGTTCCAAGAGCTGCCTGTCAAGCTGCTGGAGCTGGTAAACGTGGAACTGTCGCTGTAGCTCCTCTGAGGTGCGCAGAGTCTGCAGCATCAGCTGGGGGAGGCGGTTAGGGAAGCAGAGACCAATCTGCTCCAGCACAGCCCCCTCCAGCCAGCTGGAGCCCATGCTCAGGAGTCGGTCAGCCATGTAATGCCTGCAGCACACACAGTCGGCCAGGTCTCAGTGTGGGAGCCAGCTTGGCCCAGGCCCAGCCTTCCCCTCCAGAAGGTAAGTCTCTGTGTTACAGCTCAGCTAAGTCACAAGACCCACCTCATCTCTACCAGCACATGGCCACTACCATGTCTTAACTTCTCAGCTACTCTTCCTTCTTCTTCCCTTAACATTCAAATCTTCCCTTCCTCCGGCCTCTACGTCTCCTGTCCCCAACCTCTCCAGAATGTGACTCACTGGTAGAAATGCTCAAAAGTCGTGGCCAGCTCTAGGCCAGAAAGGACCATGATGGGTTCCAGGTGCCGCTGAAGCTGCCCCAGCATTTCCACCCCAGAGGCTCCACCAAGCAAACCACCCTGGATTTGTTCGTCGATGTGCCTAGCAAACTGCTCACTCATCTGGGGATGACAGAGTGGACACGAGACCAGCCATGAACAAGGGATGGAGTGGACAAGTGCAAAGAAGGAGCAAAGGGATGAAGCAGAAGGAGACGGGGCGGGGGCAGCCCGTGCCTGGCCCTTGGCACGACTCACGTGAGCAGCGGTGAGGAAGGACTGCTGCAGCAGGGCTCCAGAGAAGCCACTGCGCAGAGCCAGAGTGAAGGCTGCCCGAGGCCCGAACAGCTCCAAGCCTGCTCTTTGCAAGCGCTCATAGAGAGTACAGTACCGAGGCACAAAGTCCGAGGCCCTCCAGGCTGCAGCCAGGAATCTGCTGACCTGAAGGAGAGTAGGAAGTGACAGGACGGAGCGACCCCTTGTGTCCCATCCGCCTGACAGACTTGAACCTGCCTACCTGTTCCTGTACCACGCTCAGCCAGCACTGGGTGATGTTCCTGAGGCTGCTGCTGGGGAGGCCTGGCGAGGGCGTGGGGCTTCCGTCCTGACTCTTACTGTTCTTGCTGACTGTGGAAACAGGGCAAAAGAGTGAGCTTCACTCCAGCCTGGGTGGGCCCCAGGGTCTCGGTGTTCATCTCCTGGAAAGGTCACAGCGTATTAGAGGTCTGGAGGAGCCGAAGAGGAAGGAGCTGGAGAGCCCCACAGTACAGATTCTCAGCTCAGCATGCCGCAGTGGACTTACAGGGCTGCGTGGCCGGCTCAGGAGCAGGCCCAGGAGGGGGTTCCACATGCACCAATAAGTGGCACAGGCGCCGAACTCGGGAAGCAAAGGATGCTGCTGGACCGCGGGCGCTCGGCACGTCCTCCCTGTGCTCCAGGTACTGGTCCAGCAGCCATCCCAGGGAACTCACACCCTCAGCATCTGCAAGAAGACCAGTCAGGAATGGGTGTCTGTGGGACGTAGGGAGACACAGAGTCGAGGTACAGCTTCAATTATACAGAAAGGTGTGAGGGAGGCAGAGCCCTAGCCCTCCCTCACCACTGCTGGAGCCTGGGAACATGGTAACAGGGCAGGGATGGTGTGGAGGGCAAGCTTCAAATACCACTCTCAGGGAGCGGTGCCTGGAGTGAGGAGAGAGGCCTTGAAGGACACATACAGGAACCAAGAGAACCAAAATATCAACAAAGGTGACCCCTGAGACTTGTGAGGGGCTGGTGTGGGGGCCGGGTGTGGGGTGGTTACCAGGAGAGGTGATGTTCTGCACCAGGGGGCTGACCAGCGCCTCCCAGCAGGTCTTGCCCAGTGCTTGGGCGGCCTCATCATCAGGGAGGAAGCGATCAGCAAAATTCTGTTCATGGCGCAAAACTCTGTTCAGTCTGGGAACACAAGTAGATGCCCGATGAAAGGCAGGCTCCCCACCTCCCCAAAGACCAGCTTCCCCGAGGCCTCCACACAAGTGCTGATCAACTCCCAATCATGCTACTCGGGGCCTTCCGGCACTTTGCTGGTCCCCTCCAGTGCTGGCTGCAGTGGCACTGCTCAGACTCCTCAAGCATCTCTCTGGCCCCCACTTCTTCCAGTGTCAGTCCTTAACCTCTTCCTCCTGTGCTGCACCCACCTGGGACAGAGCTGGAGGAGGCGCTGGCGGTCCTCTGCTATGTCCCGGCTCCATGCTTGGGCCCGAATTGTGTAGAAGAGCCAAGTACGTCGACAGAGCTGCTCCCGGAACAATGGCCAGAAAGTGGGCTTGGGACCCAGCACCTCCACACCCCGGACCCGGGTGTCGATGCCGCCCTGCAGCACACGGACTTCTCACCTGAGCGACTCTGCACTCCAAAGCCACACTCCACACCCTGAATTCCCAATACATCCAGGCCATCTCCAAGCTGGCCAAGGAGGAACCCTGGCTAATGTCCTGGCTTGAAGCTGTGGAGAACCCACCCACTAAGGAGACCCTGGGCTTCCTCCTGGTCCCACCTGCTGGCAGCGCTTTATTCGGATCTGGATGATGGGCCAGAAGCGGTTCAAGTTCTCCAGGAGGGTTACCCGGCTGGCAGAGGGCATCACATTTACCTGACAGGGCAGGAGAGAGGAGGCAGAGACCCACTAAAGAAGTGAGGCAGGGCTGGAGACAGGTCTCAGCAGTTACAAAACCATACTGCTCTTGCAGAGGACCAGGGATTGATTCCCAGCACCCATGCTGGTGTCTTAAAACTACCTGTTGTGGTACTCACAGGACCTGATGCCCTCTTGTGGTATTTAAGAGCACCTGTACTCACACACACACACAGACACACACTTAGACACATATAAAAATAAAAGAAGTGGCGCTGGAAGAGGTGCAGACAGCGGTCAAGGCCAGGATGGCCTGTCTTACGAACTGAGCCCACGTGCACTTCCAGTGATGAGACCTTCCCAGAAGGAACCAAGAGAGCCATTCCCCAGAGACTGGGTCTTCCCCACCCAAAAATGAGGGATGAAGAATGAGAAATGGAGGGATGGTGAGTACACAGTAAAGGGGTTCAAGGGTCCCCACCGTGTTAAGTTCGGTGCTGATGCAGCTGACGCTGTCACCCCCAAACACCACCACCCTGGCTGGCATGTAACTTGAATCCTCACTGGCCACAAGCAGAGTCAGCTGCCTGAGAGAAGAGAAAGGAATCGGTGAAAACTAGGGCCACTTCTTCCTACCACTTCCTCCTCCAGCTCTGACATGCCTGCCTCCCCAGACCCTCAGCTTTCCCCTTTATAGCTCTCCAAAATGGTTTTACTTAAACCACTAGATTCAATGACAAATCAGTGCCATGCTGTGCACATAACAGACATTCCCATGTCATAACCAGAGGTTCCTCAAGACCAACATGACAACATGGGACATCATCTGTCCACAGAAGCCTACCCCTTTCTATTCTGTCCCCTGTGAGAGAAATGGGCCACCTACCTGGTCACAGCTCCCTCACCAACCAATGGCAAGTCGTGTACACACTACATCTTAGTATCTCATAGTCCACCTCTGACCCTTCAGTCCCTCTCCTTAACTGAACACACTGAACACTTCTCTACTAGACACACACATCATCCAAAACCTTTTTTTCTGGCCTCCAACTCAAATTTCCATGATTACCTGAGTACCAACTAAAAAACAAAGCTAGTTTCTTTTCTTCTTAAAATCCTTGAATGACCCCCTGTGTAGAATGGGGAGCATTTGTTAATGATGCAAAGATGTGCTGCATTCCTTTATGCTGCATTTGTTTAACTCTTCGAGGCTCTGTCACTGTGCCTGTCTAAAACACCTGATGGTCTAATAAGGAGCTGAATGGCCAATAGTGAGGCAGGAGAGGGACAGGTGGGGCTGCCAGGAGAGAGAATAGAGACAGAGTAAGAAGGAAAGAAAGGAATAGAGAATCGAGAAAGGTAAAAGCCCAGAGGCAAAGGGTAGACGGGACAAATTTAAGTTAAGAAAAGCTGGCTAGAAATAAGCCAAGCTAAGGCCAGGCATTCATTAGTAAGAATAAGTCTCCACATATTTTTTGGGAGCTAGGCGGCAGGCCCCCAAAGAGCAAAGAGTAAAAAATAAATAAAATTTAAAAAAAACCTACAACTTCCC